ATATATATTTATATTATAGTATTTTTAGTAATACTATTATATAGCTTTATCAATGACTATTTCTAATAACATAGATAGGTAATAGTTGCCATATTTGGTTTTATATAATTAAATTACAGAATTTAAAAGACCTAGTTAGACGATTACTCAAAATAGAAACATATTTTACTTATATAGTTACTCTAGTAGTATAGGCAATTCGTAATTAAATAATACTATAAGGTATTATTAGATAAAATGAGCTAATAAACTCTTTTGATAATCAAGGCCATGGTTAGACCAATTTATGATTAAAGAATACTATAGAATATTGTTAGGTGAAATGAGACAGATGAACTCTTTTGATTTAAAGCCATGGTTAGGCCGATTCATGATTAAAGAATACTATAAATCAGGTAAAATAAGATGAATAAATTTTTTCAATAATCAAAGCTATGATTGAGTTGATTTATTATTAAAGAATATTATAAGGTATTGTTAGGTAAGATGAACTCTTTCAATAATTGAGGCTATCATTAGATCAATCTATGATTAAAGAATACTATGAAGTATTGTTAGATAAAATAAGACAGATAAACTCTTTTAATAATTGAAGTCATGGTTGGGCTGATCTATAATTAAAGAATACTATGAGGTATTTTTAGATAAAATTATAGATACTAGTAAAATATAGTGAAATGTAGTAAAATAATTTTACTACTATTGGTGAAATTAGTAGTGAAAATTGGTGAAATTGGTGAAATTAATTTCACTAGCATTTATAGATAAGATAAACTCTTTAATAATCAAAACTATGGTTTGGTCAATCTATTATTAAAGAAAACTATAAGACATTGTTAGGTGAGATGAATTTTTTTGATAATCGAAGCTATTATTAGACTAACCCATAATTAAAGAATATTATTGAAGTATTGTTAGGTTAATAAAACAGATGAACTTTTTCGATACTTGAATAGGTTGAAAAGATATTTAATACAAAGCAGTCGATATGAAGCATATGTAATTACTCAATTGATTATTATTGAGATTTTTAAAACTACTTAATAAACTTGTGATTTATTCAATAACCATTTTTATAGATAATCTATAACAAAGATAAAGTATCAATTTTTTTTTCTTTTTTTTTTTTTTTGTAAATTATATGAATATTAAAGCAATTAATAATAAGCTTGAAGGTTTTACTTTTGAATATAAAAATGATATGAAGATTTTAGTAAATTTTATTTTACAAGTTTGAATTAATATTTACATTAAAAGTTGACCTAAGCTATATAATTAGTAAAGATTTTATCAATTAAATAATTAACAAAATCCATAGTTAACAAGAAATAAGTGTAAAAATAATTACAAATTTTATATTATCTGTTATTAAAAATTGCCAAAATATCTTACCTACGTCATATTAAAAAACTTGATATCATTGCTTTATTAAAAAAATTTTGGTATTATTAAATTGCAATATATGTAATACTTTTTTTTTTTTTTTAATGTTAAAGGTGAGACTTTGCTCTTATCTTTATTAAATTTAACAAAAACTCCTTACATAGTTAAAAAAAAGTTTTATCATTTAAATCTAAAACTAAGAAAAAGAACTTAGACATATATCTAAGTAAACCTAAATACTTATCTGTAGTCTAAACCTACCAGAGTGGCCAAGGCTCACCACATAATTATATATTAATTAAACTTTAATATATAATATTATATAAATAGAACTCTTACCAGTACTTCTCTTCTCTTTTATATAGGTTTTCAGGTATTTTTATTTTTATTTATTTAATAATTTATTAATAATAATAATTTTTTTTATTTATTTATTATATTATTAGATAATAATAATTTTTTTTATAATTTAGCAGACTACAGAAGTATAGTTTGCTAAAACTACTATAATTATATAATTATATATTAATATATGTATATTAAACTTTAATATATATAATATTGAGGGTGTGGTAGCTTAGTAAAGTGGTGGAGTTGTCTACCCTAGATGGCAGGTCTAAAGTTTGAATCCCACAGATGACATTTTTGAAAAATAGCTCTGTGATATGGTTAATGGCTATTTGACAATTGGTAGGATCTAGAAATCTGTAATCTCGATCACACTATCTAGAATGGAAGCCTTGGTATAATAAATCTAAGATACTGAAAAAACTGAAAACCCATTTGGCAAGTTCCAAGTTGGAAGGTAGCATGATCTTTGACAGTACTACAGGAAGACCGAATTTGAAACCAGGGACTGAGATTGGAGAACCGAGCAACTAAGTTCTTAAGTGGAAAACATACCAGCTAAACCGCCAGGTTGTCAAACCAGAGAAAAAGAATATATGCTTTGGAAGCATGTACCAAAGGAAGGAAGATCATATAGACATCTAAGGTCTAGGTGAACCAACTCTTCTAGATTGCCAGCTAGAAGTAAGAGAGAGACCGATAAAGAATCTGGGAAAGAAGGAAAGTTCAAATATGGATGCTGGGGTTGTGTGAACCCAAATACAAGAGCAAGAAGTACGTAACAACTACTAAAATAGGAAGATTGTAGTTTGAGATATGGATTAGGTTATAGCAGTATCCTAAATGATAGCTTGAGACATAAACTCAGTAGCCGCAATCCAACATGTACTAGATTAGAAAGAAGTTACTGAATATGCAGATGAATTCATGTGTAGGACATGTACTGCTATGTTAGATTTACCTTGAGAATAAAGTAGTCCTAGGTAGAGTGTGAAATCTACAAGTGTTGCAAAATCTAGCATATGAATAATGAGTTACACCTTGGTTAGGTAAGAAATAATGAGCCAGTTGTGACCAGGAAGTTTAAATAGATAATTCTCTAGTTGGGTTGCAGGTATAGTAGCTAGTATGAAACTTTGGGCAGACTACTTAAATAGACAACCAAAAGTTGCAAATATGGCTAGTCATACTCTTACTTGTAAAAGCCAGAGAGCTTAAATAGGTAATCTTCTAGTTAGATTGCAAATATAGTAGTCAGTGTAGAACTCGGGTGAACTACTTAAATAAACAACCAAAAGTTGTATGCATGGCTAGTTGTATTCTCATCATAATTGTAAATATTGTTAATTATCTAATAAAAAGCCCCCGGCCATAGAGGTTATCTTAATACTGAAAAAAATATATATATAAAATTATTTAAATAGAACTCTTACTAGTACTTCTTTTTTCTTTTGTATAGTTTTTCAGGTATTCTTAATTTAATTTATTATTATTATTATTATTATTATTATGAACTAGACTAGATAGTGCCTCATGTACTGTGTGCTTCTTACTTTAAAAATTGCCAATATTTCAAAATTTTACTAAAGTAACACCTGTTGTGTAACTAATTAAAAATGTCTCTCTCACAATTTTAACCTAAAAAAACACTAACTCTAATCTTAATTCTAACTCTAATGTTAGTTTTTATCTTTGTTTGCTATCAAAACTTAGGGTAACACAAAGTGCATAAAGACATCATTTAGATTTTATCTATTTTTATTATTATTATTATTATTATTATTTATTTATTTAATAATTTATTAATAATAATAATTTTTTTTTTATTTATTCAATATATAATTAGGTAATAATAATTTTTTATTTAGCAGACTACAGAAGTATAGTTTGCTAAAACTACTATAATTACATAATTATATATCAATATATATATATTAAACTTTAATATATATATAATATTATTTAAATAGAACTCTTACTAGTACTTAATAATTTTTTTTTATTTATTCATTATATTATTAGGTAATAATAATTTTTTTTTATGATTTAGCAGACTACAGAAGCATAGTTTACTAAAACCACTATAATTATATAATTATATATTAATATATAAGTATTAAACTTTAATATATATATAATATTATTTAAATAAAACTCTTACTAGTATTTCTCTTCTCTTCAATATAGTTTTTAGGCATTTTTAATTTAATTTATTATTATTATTATTATTATTATTATTATTATTATTATTATTATTATTATTATTATTATTATTTATTTAATAATTTATTAATAAGGCTATGTAAAATTAATTAATTGGCTTTCATAACCTGGCTGAGTCAAAATTTGAAATTTCTAAAAAAAAATTTTATATTTTAATAACCGAGTAGGTTTTAAAAAAATTTTTTTATATAAATTTTATAAAATTTTATATAAGAAATTTAAAAAAAAAAGCTAGCCAGCCAGATTATTTTTAAATTTGATGTTATAAAAACCAAGTAATTAATAATAATTTTTTTTATTTATTGTATTATTAAGTAAGAATAATTTTTTTTTATTATTTAGCAGATTACAGAGGTGTAGTTCACTAAAACTACTATAATATATTAATATATATATATTAAACTTTAATATATATATAATATTATTTAAATAGAACTCTTACTAGTACTTCTTTTCTCTTTCATATAGTTTTTTAGGTATTTTTAATTTAATTTATTATTATTATTACTATTATTTATTTATTTATTTATTTAATAATTTATTAATAATAATAATTTTTTTTATTTATTCATTATTTTATTAGATAATAATAATTTTTTTTATGATTTAGCAGACTACAGGAGTATAGTTTGCTAAAACTACTATAATTACATAATTATATGCTAGTATATTTATTAAACTTTAATATATATTATTATTTAAATAGAACATTTTTTTAATTTTCAGATGCAATTTAAAAGATACTTTAATTCACTAATAGTTTTTTATTAAATATATCTTACCAATAACTCTTTTTTTTTAAAAAAATAAAAAAGAACAGATATAAACATCTTAATAAGAGCTATATATATATTATATTATTACAATAAGAACCAACATATTTATAAAATTTTGGTTTTTAAATAAAGATATTGAATTAATATTTGCAGATAAAACAAAAAAAAGTTTTACTTTTCAATAAATCAGTGATACATCTTCGCTATACAACTAATTATTAACTAAATTAGATAAACTACTTGAGGTAACTAAAAATCTAAGTAGTAATAATGAAATTTTTAAATTTAATTATAAAGAACTTTATTGTTTTGGCCATAAGTATACTGTATTTAATATTAATTCTTTAATAATTTTTTATTTAGCAAATTTAATTTTTTGATAAAGAAGATAATAACAATAATATAAAAAGTAATAAAGGTGATGATAATACTAATATAAAAGGTAACAACAAAAGTAGTAAGGATGGTAATAATAAAGCTAACAAAGAAGTGAACAAGAAGGGTAATAATAAAGCTAACAAAGCAAGAAACAAGAAAGATGATGAATATAGTAATAAAGGTAATAAAAAAGATGACAAAGAAGATGACAATAAAGATAGTAATAAAGATGATAATAACAAAGAAGAAAGTAATGAAGAAGATAACAGTAATGAAAGCAATGAAGATAATAAAAATAATGAAAAGAACAATGAAGATATTGATAGAAGTATTATTAAATAACAATGTAAATCTATAATTTAATTAGTTTTATTAGCTTTAAAAAAAATATATATATATTTTAATTTTAATTTTAGACATTGTGACAAAAACTTCTAAAAAGGTTAATTGGCCCTTAATATCTACTTTCTTTCAAAAAGTATATCTGGATATTATAAATCATTGTATTATTTTAGCATCTATTATACAGGATATTAATTTTGACAAAATTGAAATTAATTTAACAAAAAAAATTGCAACACTTAAGAACAATTAAGGCGAAATTGTATTGAAGCCAATCAATCCTCTCAAAATTAGAAAGGCAATAATAAATATTAAACTTTCTAATTTTGAAAATATTAATAAAAAGCAAGCTAATCAAAACCCTTACCCATATCTTGGCTATTTTGCTAATTTTCAACCTACTAAAAAAAAGAAGATATTAATTAAAAATAAATTAAAGATTTCAAATCTATGCTACAAAAAATAATATAAAATTATTTTGATATTTTGATAAGAAGAATATTATTAATATAGCTGCTATTAATCATTGTGTAAGTTTTTTAAAAATAGAAAAAAAACAAATATATTATTAGAGAATTGCTATTCCACCTCCTATTTTTGCTAATACTACTATTTAAATTTTAAAAATGCTTCAGAAGAGGTATTGTTATTAAGAAAACCTTTCTTTTGATCTTAATAAAAGTTGTTTATTAGGCCTTTCTGGTTCTAATACAGTGGAGTACCATAGCACTATAGACACTTTTTAAAAACTTGTACAAAGCTAAATATATAAGGTATTAAGCTAAAAATTAAAATATAAATTCTTTGAATCTATATCTTTTAAATAAAAAAAAGTTTAAAAAAATTTATATAACAGATTTTAAAATAATTAAAATTAAGTAAAATTTTGGATTTTTTTTTTTTTTTTTTTTTAATTTTAAAAGGTGAGGCCTTGCTCATATCTTTATTAAGTAATTTATATAAGTAAA